AAAAAAAAAAATTTTGAATTTACTTACTTGTAGCCGGAGTTAGAGGCGGTCGGATACTTATGACCGCTACTGTAAGTCACGTGAAAAAAATTTACCTAACGATTTTTAAGTTTTTGGCATTGCATTATTTATGTGACTTTTAGTGATCAATATTAACCAGTTAGGTTTAATCAAAAACTATAACAAATTCTTGCAACTAACAAGTTTATTTATTAAATTACATTCTATTATCATCTTGTATACCTTTACCTTTATTATATCATTTATCCTTTTCGACATAGACTTGATTAAATTTATACATACATCGACCTTAATTCTGAACTAAACATCTTATAATTTTTCTCACAGATCTTCTCTTCCTGTAGCTTGTTTTGGAAGGTGTCTTAAATAATATTTAACTTTATTTCAAAGATGCTTTATAGGATTTAAATCTGGAGATTGTACAGGCCAGTCAAGCACAACCACTTTATTATCAGAAAGCCAGTTCTTAGTAAGATTTACTATATATTTGAAATTATTATTTTGTTAAAAAATTATATCATTAATACTTAATTCCCAATCTGAAATAGATTTTATAAGATCTTTTTCAAATATTTGCCAATAAAGTTTCCATTTAAGCTACCATTAATTATACAAAAGTTGCTAATACCTTTTGCTGAAAAGCATTCCCAAACTATTATATTACCTTCACCAAATTTTACTGTTAATTTAATATGAGGATTTCTTAATGGTTCTTCTGGTTTTTTCCAATAGTATTGACGTTCATCTGAACTAAAAAGTATGAACTTACTTTCGTCAAACTAGATTACTTTTTTCTAATCCTTCACAGATCAATTTTGATATTTTTTTACGAAATTCAAGTGACATTTACAGTATGTTTTTTTAAGGTAAGGTTTCTTCTTCTTAATTCTTGATACTAAACCATTTTTTTGAAGTGTTCTGCATATGAATTCAACTGAAATTTAGATATTATCATAGTTTTTGAGATCACCTTATATAGCAACTGCTGTAGAATATTTATTAGAAGTAATAAGTCAGAGAATTTTACGTTTAGTGTAAATGGAAATAACTCAGAAATGATCTGATTTTTTATTTTCAAACCATCTGTCTCTTCTTTACGTTGATGAATTCTCATAACTGTAGACTTATGAATACCTTCTTTAGCTACAATGATATTGGCTTGATAGACTTTTTCAAGAAAGGTAAAAATTCTTGCCCATTTTTCTAAGAATAATTATAACATATTAAAAAATTTTTTTATAGCAAAATAAAAGGGCTGGGAATTTGTTTCTTTATAATTACATAATATTATGTAACTTATTGCTTTTTTAATTTTAATCTAGCCAAAAATGGATTGACTCAAAGTCACATAAATAATGTAATGCCTAAAATAGTAAAATTGCGGTCTAGCTGCAGATTATATGATTAAATAGGAATTTTAATTACAAATTTATATAAATTTTGATTCGAAAAACTCAATAAAATTTATTTTATTTGGATATAATTTATTAATAAAAAAGTTGCATTAATTTAAAGTTTTATGTTTAGCGATTGCATTACTTTTATGAGCTATTGTATTAAAAAATATTAGAGAATAATAATAGTTTAGAAGAGAAATAAAATTAGATTAAACTTAAATTTTAGTAAATTTAGTTGAAAGTATTATAAAGGATTTTAAGTTGTAATTTGTGACAATTTAACTAGATACCAATAATATAAATAAAAATATGAGTTTTCTAAGTTACATATATAAATTTTGTAAAAATTTTATTAATAAATTATTAAGTAATAAAATAATAAAATCAGTTATAATTTCAAATGATCAGTAAATAATTGGCAAGTGATCAAATATTTTTTAAAAGGGAATATATAAATATTTTGAAAGAATAGAAAGTAAACTATCTAAAAAACTTATTGTTAAGATATGTTAAAGTTTATACCTGAATTTATATAAAATTGAATAATATAATTATCAAAGAAATAAAGAAAATAAATATAATAAATAATATATATAATAAAGAAATAAAAATAATAAAAATGATGATAATATAAAAGAAATAAATATCATAGATGAAATAGAAGACATAAAGGATTTTAATGATTTCTAAGTAATTGTTATCATTTTTGTAATATTAATCATTAAATTTTCTTTCATGTAATAGTATTATTATTTTAATAATTAATAATTATTTATTAAAAAAAGTTAAAATTTATTAATAGAAAAAATATTATCATATCCATATAAAAAAAAAATAAAGTTTTAATTTATCTAATAAAAAGAATTAAAATTTACAAATTTATACTAATTTTAAATTAATATTTTTAAATATAATATAAGTAATTAATTTATTTTTTAATATTAAATAATAATTGTAAATAGGATTTTAATGGTATCCTGTAAGAAAAACTTATTTTTTCATTATCACGTTCTTATCATTACTTGGAATGATCAACCGATTTTATATAGATTTTATATGTAACATTTTATGTAAGGAAGAAAGCATAATTGGTGTAAAGTTCATTACACGACCCTCTATAAGAAATCTGACACGAATGGTATATTATTTTGATAAAAGAAATGTAGAAGTAACGGTGTTTTGCGACGAATATAGCAAAAAGCGTGTTGATAGGTTTCGCAAGTAAATGTTAATTCGCATGATGCATAATTCAAATCACCATACCATACCTTGAAAGAATTTCAAGAAAATCTAAAAGAAGGTGTTAAATGAGTACAAATGGAATACAAAATATTGAAATATGACCTTCAATTTCCCCCCCGCATATCATCATATACTTAGCGTTTAGCCCGCAGAATTTCGTGAATACAATTGGTTAAAATTTCCGTAATGAATTTAGGTTTAAAGTACCACAACAGTTACACCACGATATGATTTAAATTAAATTTAACATCTACTTTTCTTAAAGAAACCCTTTCGCTTCCATTTTTTCATTAATTACGGGACACCTTTGCTGGTATTCCTTCCTATCACTCTCCCTTATACCCTTCTAATACTCCAACTTTTTCTTCCTTCATTTCTTCCTTTCGACTTCCTTCATTTTTTCCACTTTTAGTAAAATTATATACAATATTTCGAAGAAAAACTCATAATTCAACTTCTTACATCTCGTCATCACTTTTTCACTTCCCCTAAATTTACATCATATTAACGCGTTAAACCATAATTAAACCCTATATTTAGGATAAAAAAAAATGGAAGCGGGTTATGATTCTCAAAAGAGAGCTGTAATGCTCGACCGTCGCAAAACTCTCAGCAGGCCCGAAAGGTATCAGCCAGCAACTCCTATGTTGCCGGGTGATGGTAAGAAATCTTTTGATCCATGGGTATTTTTTTCAAAAGTTATAACTATTTGGGCTCCTGCTGCACTTTTATCATCGATTGGTGGACTTCATGATAAAAGTTCCCAACAAGCTTGGCGAGAAAAAATTGCACTATGTTTTATCGCTGTTGCTATGGGCGGTTCTGTTGCATTTTTAACCGTTGGATTTACTGCCATTCTATGTCCTCCATCTCAACAAAACAATCCCGATTTATTTAAGCGTTACGGTGAAGCACCAGGTAATTATTACGAAAACTCACGTGACAGAATTTTGCCTCGACAATCTGCAAAAATGATGAGCAAGATTTAATAACTGCGTAAAATTATATTATTATTATAGGACATCTTGGTATAAGTGGATGGCAATTTGATATAACTCAATCTGTAAATCCCAAAGGTCAAGGTGGTAAAGAGCTCGTAAGTTTCGAAGTTCTTGCTCAAAATCAAAATGGACAAGATATTACTGGATTATTCCAACGTAATCTCGCTGATTATCCAAATTGTCAAGATCCTGAAATTCAGAAATTTGCCGCAGTTAGCGACCAATTTTGTCATAAAGACACTTGCATACTTAAAAACATTGATGATACTACTTTTCAAGAATATAAAATTACAAACACAACTAAAAAAGTTGGGTTTGATTGGGAACAAATTTCCACACTTCCAGACTACTTGGTTATTGATGGTAATGTGCTTAATCTTGAAGATTACATGAAAACGCATCCAAATCCAACAGGAGATCAAGTTGATAAAGTAATCCGTGATGTTTTGACTACTGATCATTTGGAAGGTGGAAAGGACGCTACTCGCCTTTTCTTTGGTAGACCTGATATGAAAGCTTCAGTTAATTGCCTTGTTAGTAAATATTATGCCGGTAACATTGATAAGGAAACTATTGGATGTTTCACTTCTCAACTCTTCTTATACGTATCTTTGACTGTCATCTTAAGTATCGTCTTGACTCGTTTTGTGATGGCTTGTATTTTCGATTGGTTCATCTCTCATCGTCTTGCTCTTAAACCAAAGAATCCAAAATCTGTTGTCTCATCACAAAGTTTTGTTAGTGCTGGTGGTCAACCATGGACTTCTGGAACTGGTACCGTCGCAAAGAACATATCTATGGATGATGTGGGTAATGATTTATTTACTGTCTTGTTGGTCACATGTTACTCTGAGGATGAAACTGGTTTAAGATGTACTTGTGAATCAATGGCTGCTACCGATTATCCTGATGATCGTAAATTGTTGTTCCTTGTTTGTGATGGTATCATTATCGGTTCTGGCAATGATAAAAGTACTCCTGATATTTGTATCGACCTTATGGAAGTTGGTATGTGTTCTGCTAAAAATTATATGCTTATTTCGGATTTTATTTGTGATAATATATAAATAATTCTAAATTTTGTGATTATAGAACCTGAATTTGAAAATCCCCAACCACAAAGTTACGTTGCTGTCGCTGCTGGTGCTAAACAACATAACATGGCTAAAGTCTATGCTGGTTTCTTCCGCTGGAAGGATCGTCGTATCCCCATGGTCACTATTGTAAAATGTGGTGGTCCTGAAGAACAAGGTAAACCAAAACCCGGAAATCGTGGAAAACGTGACTCTCAATTGATATTGATGAACTTCTTCAGTCGTGTAACTTACAACGACCGTATGTGCGCTTTGGATTACGATCTTTTTAGAAAGATTCATCATTTAATGGGCGTTACTCCGGATTTTTTCGAAATCGTACTTATGGTAATTGTTAAAATATCGCAATTTTTTTTTTTTTACAAAGTATTTATACATTTATAGTAATACTAATAAAATGCAATTTTTTCCTAATAATATTATGAATTAGGTTGATGCTGATACTAAAGTATATCCAAACTCCCTTAGACTTTTGATTAATTGTATGTGTAATGATCCACTTATTATGGGTCTTTGTGGTGAAACAAAAATCGCCAACAAGCGTGATTCTTGGGTTACCGCTATTCAAGTTTTCGAATATTATATTTCTCATCATTTGGGTAAAGGTTTTGAATCCGTGTTTGGTGGTGTCACTTGTTTACCTGGTTGTTTCTGTATGTACCGTCTTAAGGCCCGTAAAGGAGATGACGATTGGGTACCAATTGTTACAAAGCCTGAAATTGTACAAGAATATTCACAAAATACAGTTGAAACCCTTCATCAAAAGAATTTGTTGCTTCTTGGTGAAGATCGTTTCTTAACAACACTTATGTTGAGAAACTTTCCTCATCGTAAGATGATGTTCTGTCCACAAGCTGTTTGTAAAACAGTTGTACCCGACGATTTTTGGGTTTTGCTTTCACAACGCCGTCGTTGGATTAACTCTACAATTCACAATCTTATGGAGCTTGTCCTTGTTCGTAATCTTTGTGGAACATTCTGTTTTTCTATGCAATTTGTCGTATTTATGGAATTGATCGGTACTGTTGTACTTCCCGTCGCTATTGTGCTGACTTATGCCTTGGTCGTTAATATCATAATTAAACCACCGCAAAGTTTCACAGAAGCAATTCCATTAGTGATGTTGGGAATGGTTCTTGGTTTGCCTGCTATATTGATTTTGATCACCACAAGAAAATTGATTTATATCGCTTGGATGCTTGTATATTTACTTGCTTTACCTGTATGGAATTTCCTCTTACCGACTTATGCTTACTGGCATTTCGATGATTTTTCGTGGGGAGAAACCAGAAAAGTTGAAGGTGAAGGGAAAGGTGATGATCATGGTAAAAAAGATGGTGAATTTGACGCATCCAAGGTACCACTAAAACGATGGGAAGATTGGGAACGTACACGTATTCGAAGAAACAAACGTCAAGAACGTGAAAGACAACAAGTGGGACCAACACATGATCCAAACAGCGCCTTATTATCAGGCAATGATGGAGATTATTACGGAGATTCGGGTTCAGTACATTCACAGACGTCAGCGGACTTAGGACCTCAACAATACTATGATTATTCTGTAAATTCCAATAACGGTACAGGATATCCTCCACAACAATATTATCAACAAGCACAATTTGAGGATGTAGGGTTTGGTAATACACATGAATTAGAACGCGCACCTTCACCTAATCCACAACCTAAGGGTTATTATTGAGAAAATAACTGATCAGTTGTTAAAATAAAACAACATAAACAAATAAAACCAAAAGACACTTTAACAAGAAGATTTATTATATAATTGATAAGAAAAAAAATGACTTTTTGGAGGAAACCATCGTTTATTAATTTATTATTATTAATTTGTATTTATTTTCGGCGAATCTTGCTGGTTTAAGAGACTTTTATTAAAATAGAAATCATTATAAATAATCTTGTCTCAAAAAAAAAAAAAAACGAAAATGAAAATTGGAGACTTCATTATATTATTTGAAGTCGAATCTTTCTATTTAGAATTTGATACTTTTAATATCTTTCGATATAACGAAAGTAAAAATTACAAATAATTGTTTTTAATTCTGTATTTTTGTATTTGATTATAATTTATGGATTGTTTTCTTGCTTTCCTTTGTCTAAAAAAATGTGTAATAATATATATTATATCTGTTTTATAAATAAAATTTTAGATTTTTTGATACGTTTATTTATAATACGTTTTAATCCATATATGTCTCCGGAGAAAAATACCATTAATATCCCTATCTATCACTATTTCACATTTAAACAATTTGTTACCACCCAGGTTATATTTATAATAACTGCATAAAAGCAAGTAGATATTAAAAATGATGATAAATTTGAAAAAGAAAATAAACAACCTGCAAGTTTTACTTATATAAGCTTCATTTTAAATGATAACCTTTTTATCTAACTATTCAACCTTGAAAACAAGATGATTATGAAATTGAATGAAGTCTAGATAGAATTAATTTTTCTATTAAGATGATGAAACATAGCAGTTCTATTAAAAGGAGGTATAATAATAACATCAAAGTTTAAAAGAAACTTCCAAGGTAATTTTCTTATAACATTCATTAATAAAATTTTAGATGTGAAGTTATAAACAAATCTAAGCTCTTTTCATTGAATTTTTTTTTTTAGAAAAAGTAAAAATAATTTTACTAAAGTTACTAAATGAAATCTAAAGGTTTTGCAAAATTCTGAAAAAGAAAAACCTATATCAAAGCTTATAAAAATGTAAAACTATATTGAAACTTTAATAACAATTAGTGAAATTAAAGTTTAGACATTTTTACCAAATGCAAAAATAAATTTAAACAAGCAACTTTATGTTTTACAAATATAAATAATTAATAATTTAATGTAAATTAATTAATATAAAATTCTATAAAAAAGAATAATAAAAGTATGAATATTATAAATTTAACTAAAAATAAAAAAGAATATATATTAAGTAAGATAACTTATTTTATCTTTTAAAAGAGCTAAATTATAAAAGAAAAAGTATTATAGTTTTATTTATTATTGATTTTTTTAAGTATTTATACATGATTAAATATATTATTTTTTTGGTAATTTAAAAATAAGTTATAAATTTTCTAATTTAATAAAAAAAAAAAATATTATAGTTTTACTAGTTTGATTTCTTTTTGTATATATATATTTTACTTATAAACCATAAATATTTATAAAGGCTTAATTGTTTTTTAGTTAAAAATTTATTTTTAAACTGAAAAATGAAAAATAAATTATTAGATAAACAATATTAGTTTTATATATATATTAGCTTATGCTACCTAATAATTATTATTATATTAAAAAATTATAAAGTAATAAAAATATTTATATGCTTTAAAAATTTAACCATCTATAAAATTATTTTGAGAATTTTTATTTTTTTATCAAATAAATTCAAGAATGCAAGTTACAATATAAATTTATTTTCAATTATCATGCAACTTGTTAACATTAAGTTGATTAAATAAAGGTATAGTAGTATAGTTTATTTCATGCACCTTCATTCCAAGCAATAATTGCCATCATAGAAACACCAATAAACATAGTAAAAAATTCAGTTGCCGCTTGTTTTATATCCCGAGATAAATTTCCAGTAACATTTAATAATTCAGGAATAACACCAACAGTTGCAATATATAAAAATCCACCAGCAGTGAACGGTATAACTAAATCACCAAGCACAACACCTGTACCTAAAATTCCATCAACTTTATTAACAGTAGCGTTACTATTATTAATATGATGTTCTCCTCTACTATATTCTTCAATAGCAATACCAGCTAAAGTCCCGAGAAAAGCTCCAATGGCTGTTATGAATTGAGAAAGCATAGCACGTCTCTTAGTGAACCCACTTTGAATCAATATTGCGTAATCACCAATCTCATGAGGTATTTCATGAAAAAAAACAGCTACGGTTGTAGTTGCTCCGATGCTTGGTGACGTGTAAAATGATGCAGCCATCGCTAATCCATCAGTAAAATTATGTGTGGCATCTGCTATGAGATTAAGATATGCCGATAATTTTATACTGTTTGATGGTTGATTAGAAGGTATTTTTTCTTCACGAAACGTGGTTTCGTTAGTGGATGATCGCTTTCGAAGCGATGAATTATCTTTTATGGCTGTTGTTTTACCTGTACTATCGCGTTGAAGTTCATCATGTTCATGTTCCTTCTCATAATGTGCGTGTGAATGACCTTCTTCTCCATTTGCGACCCTCATTAATTTATCAATCACAAAAAATGTGGTCAATCCCACAAAAATTGCCAACCCAATCACAACATTTTTTTGTTCTTCTACCTGCACAAAATGAACTACTTCATCGTTATTCTCTCCTAAGAATGAATGAGGTAATAGATGTAAAAATACGTCCCCTAATAATCCTCCTACTGCAAAACTAACCAATGAATTTAATGATGAAGGTTTAATATCGGGTGGTACGAAATACAATATGAAATTAGGTATTGAAGAAATGTAAAACGTCCCAAGGAGGGAATTTACACGTGGACTTCCGGGGAAAAGATACGAAAAAATTGTTTTTGTTATATTACTACTTTCATTTTCTAATTTCTCCTTTTTTTGTTCTGAAAGTGCTCGTACGTAAGGGCATTGTAAATGAGCTACTGCTGATTCTGATAAATTAATTGATGGATTTTCTTGAACTTGTGAATTGGCTTCGTTTCCGACAATAATCAATGATAATAATATAATAGAAAAGAGAACCCAAAGTCTCTGAAAACTTAAGCAATTCATGTCCAAAAATGCGATCAAACCAATTTCTTGCATGAATTATGATTTTACTTTGAAATGTTGTATTACTTAATTAATTGTATTACATAGCTGAGTTGTCCGTTGTTGATTGGAAAATTCCATTTGCAGATCTGCGGCTCAGATTATGCCGATCAAATATAAAGGCGACTTCAATTTCATATTTTCTACTTTCATTAACAAGTTGAATTCAATTAACAATGAATGCGTCAAACATTCATACCTTTTCAAACACACGAGAACTTTCAGTAGATCTTGCTGATCTAACAGTAAAATTATCTGAAGAATCAATTAAATCGCGAGATAGGTTTACTGTAGGAATTTCAGGTGGTTCTCTACCTAAACTTTTAGCTTCTGATTTAAAGAACCGTGAAGACATAGAATGGGATAAATGGCATGTGTTTTTTTGCGATGAAAGGTTAGCTTAATTTATTATTAATTCGTTTACTCAAAATTAAGTTTTCTCGACAAATTAAATCTTTTCTTTTTACAATTTAGACTTGTTCCATTAAATCATGAGGATTCTAATTATTTATTGTGTAAAAAAGAATTCTTTGATCATGTTCCGATCCCCGGAGATCAAATTTATACCATAGATCCTTCTTTACTTCCGCAACTTGAAACAGCTGTCGAAAAAGGAACGGAAGCAATCGAAGAGGCTTCATTAGAAATAGTAGAAGATTATGAACAAAAATTAATTTCTGTGTTTGCAACTGTGAATGCTGTTAAGTTTCCTGTATTCGATTTACTTTTATTGGGAGTTGGACCTGATGGACATACTTGTTCTCTTTTTCCAGATCACCCTTTGTTAGATTTAACCATTGGGTGGGTTGCTTATATTGGTGATTCACCAAAGCCACCACCAAGAAGGATTACTTTTACTTTACCGGTGGTTAATCATGCTCATAATATAGCTTTCGTTGCAACTGGTGAAGGGAAACAAGATGTGTTGAAAGAGATAATTGAAAATCCTGAGAGTCGATTGCCTGCTGCCTTGGTTCATCCAGTTACTGGAAAATTGTATTGGTTCTTGGATGATGCTGCTACCTTTAAGTTAACTTCATTAAAGGTAACAAGTGTTATTTAAGAAAGGAAGTTATGAAGATAATTTTTTTTTCCATTGACGAGATTTTTCCTATTAAATAGTGAATTTTATAATGCATATTTTACTTTGCTATTAAAGAATATATAATATCCATAATTTGTAAATGAATTAATTTTTATATGATAAATTTCATTTTGATTAACAAATTACAAAAATAATAGTAATAATTTAATTATTTGTTAAAAGTAAAAAAAAATCATTAATCTGCAATAAAAAACCTATAAATATTATATTTACAGTAGATTCAGAGTTGCTAGCTTTTTTTTATAATGCAAAGTTTATTATAAAAAAGAAATTTTATTATTTAATTTTTTAAATTTATTTATCGCGGGGGGGGGATACTCCTTATACATCGCCATTATACATATACCTTACCCTAACTCTAACACTAACCGAAGTGACAAATAGGGTTTCACACATGAAAAAATTTCTAAGTCCCGTGACACGGGTGACAAAAAGGAGGCACCGCGATGAATAAATTTACTCTTTAAAAAAATATATTTTAATATAAAAAAAAAAAGTATTTTTTAATATTTGTAGTTTTTTTTTGTATATTATTTATTATTCTTAGTTATTAAAAAGTAATATTTAGTTGTAATATTATTAATAAATTTTTATAAATTTTAGTTATAAATAAATCATCTTTAATACTAACATAACTATATTTAATCTTATCATAATTAGAATTCTATTTTGTTTTTACATTTTAATATAAGTTCTTTAACAGAAAGTGAAACTGCATTACATTTACATAAAATTTTTATGATGTTGAGGTGAAACTCAAATTTTAACAATAAATTTTTAAAGTTTTATTATAAATAAATATAATATAAATTATAAGTTGTAAATTAAATTTATATATTTTTTATTAAGAATTTTAAATTTATTATAGTAATTAATAAAAGATTTTACTAAATTTTCTTTAGAATAAATTCATTTAATTTATAAAATCAACTAAAATTTCTACCAATTTCTATTTTTTTGAATCCAATGAGTTGTAATTCCTAAAAAAGAAATATAAATAGCTAATGTTTATATATTAATTGTAAATGATATATGATCAGGAACATTCTAAAATAAAAACAAATATTAATATTAATTTATATAAATAAAATAAAAAAAATTTTGGATTTTTATACATTTTTAATTAAAATATTTTATTAAATCTGTATAAATAATATTAGTTAAAGGTATTTTAATATTAAATTTTAATATATAAAATAAATTTGTAGGTTTCTAATTTAAGAATTAAAAAAAATTAATCATTATAAAAAATTCATATAATATAATTCATGAAATACTATTAGAGAATACTACATAAATTATATAATTTATTAATATTTAATAAATAAAATAAAAAAATTTTAAATAAACTTATAGATAATATTTATTAATATATTTATTCATTACTTTTTTTTCTATTTTTTCTAATTTAATAAGATATTTCTTTTTTAAATGCTAATAAAGATTATTTGTAATTCTATTAGTATGCTTATATTCTATATTATCTCTTTAATTATTTTGCTTACAAATTTGTAGACAATTTTATTTATTAATTACAATTCTTTTAAATTATTTTTAAATATTTTAAAATATATTATTAAAAAATTAATACTTTTATAATAAATTTGTTTTTTAAGTAAAAAGTAAAAAAAAAAATGTAATTAACTAGTGATTTTTAAAGATAAATAAATAATAAATTATTATAAAAAAATTAAAATTTTAAATTCATATATCTTGTTATTTATTAATCTTAGAAATATAAAATACTGCTATTTAATAGATTTTAATATAATGAATCCAATAAACTAAATTTTATATTTTTTGTAATTATTAGATAATAAATTATTTTTAAAAATTAAAAACTTAAAAAATTAATATATATTAATTATTAATTTTAAAAGTTTAAAAATATTATTATTAGATATTTCATAATATGATAAATTGAAAATTTTTATTTCATTTTTTTATAATTATTAGATAAGTAAAAATAACATAATTATATTATTTCTACTTAGCTTAGATTATAACATGTGAATTATAAAATTTAAGTCATTCAAGTGATAGGTTGATTATAAAACTCAAGTCATTCAAGTAATAAATAGATCATAAAATTCAAGTCAATTGACTAATAATATATTCTTAGATGTGATGTATAGATTGCAAAATTGACTTCTATAATAGATAAACAGTTGTATACTTTTTAAAAAGTCAAATTTAATATCAATAATATTTTAATTACTTATATATATCAGTTTAATATTTCTGTTTGATTTCTATTATAAAAAAATATTTGAATTAGATTATGACACCCTAGCCTTAGTGTATAAAATTTAGACCAAAAGTCATGTGCACAAATTATACTAAAAATAAAAAATTAATGCATGTATTACATAGTATTTCCATTTTTATAAATAATTTATTCATTTTTATATATAATTTATCTATTT